CCCCCCCCCCCCCCCACATTCCCACCTGCACTCCCGGTCTGGGGTCCCAGCTGTCGGACCCGCTCAGCCCGCTGCCGGTCTTGGGTCCCGGCTGCCGGCCCCTTGCCAGCCAGGGTCCCGCAAGCCCCGCTCAGCCCGCTGCCAAACTAGGTGAATGGAACCCCAGACCAGCAGCGGGCTGAGTGGGCCGGCGGCGTAAGATCAGCATTTTAATTTGATTTTAAATTAAGCTTCTTAAACATTTTGAAAACCTTGTTTACTTTACATACAACAATAGTTTAGTTATATAATATAGACTTATAGAGAGAGACCTTCTAAAAAACGTTAAAATGTATTACTGGCACGTGAAACCTTAAATTAAAGTGAATAAGTGAAGACTCGGCACACAACTTCTGAAAGATTGCCGACCCCTGCTCTACATGAAGGGCCTAATCCAAAGCCCATTGGGGTTAATGGGAGACCCTCAATTGGTGGTGTTAGGTTTTGGAACAGATCCTAACATCCCACTTCAGCAAAGCACTTAAGCCTGTGCTTAGCTTTAAGCATGTGCTTAAGTGCTTTGTTAAACTGGGACCTAAGGCCCTAGTCTGGCTCTGGGTGAAGCTAATGGCAAAGCTCCCATTGATTTCAGTGGAGCAGGAGCAGGCCCTAACTGTGAGTTCTGCTGTTATACTGCTGTAGACTTCATGTATCAATATGATCTTCTATTTTGTGCTGTCTTTACCACAAGCTGATTAGTGCAAATTATGGCCCCACTCCTGCACTGGGATCTTCTAGCCTAGGCCCCTGTGTGACATTACCCAGGGTACAATCTGGACTGTTAAACTGCATCCTCAGTTCTCCAACCTGGGGTGCTTTTTACACTGCCTGGCCGAGAGAACAACCACTCCTGGTCTGCCCACACACAGCCTCCAGCATGTAAATTACTCCCAGCTATACTGTATGAGTCCCATGGCCAGCCACTCTTGGATTGTACTGCAGGGCAACAGCAGAAAACTCCCAGTCCCAGATTTTCCCCCAGAAATGTGCATCTTGTACTGCCCAGCGCCCTCCTGCACAACACAAGCTCATATAAAGTCCGTCATTTTATTAATAGAAAATGATTTGCACAAATCCTGTTACCTCACATGGAGTTTCCCAAGCACTTCAATCCACGCACACTGGTTTAGATGAAACAGTAAAACAAATGTATTAACGACAGAAAAAGAGATGTTAAGCAATTACAAGTAATGAGGCATGAAAGTCAAAATTGATTATAAGGAAATAAAAGGTAAAACACAAACTAACACCCAACTTAACAAGCTAAGTGAATTCAAAGCAAAAGTCTCTCTCCTCACCTGTTATACCAGCCTTGCTGGCTGAATTCCTCTCAGCCAGGATCTCTCCCCAGTCCAGTGATGCTTCCTTCGTCCTTCAAGTGTTGTCAGTGCCATTACTAGAGATGAAGGGAGACATCTTTGAGGGCATCTGTCCCCATTCTTATCCCTTCCTTTTCTTGGAGAATCATCTCCAGCTGGGGTTCAGGAGACAGGAAGTCTGTAGGGATGGGAACGTCCAGCTGTTTCTTTTCCAAGATGTAAATTTCTTGCTCACACCCTTTTTCCTGCCCAAAAATGGCTGCTTTCCCAGATGATGGTCCATTTGATTTCATTGACACCTGGCTGAGACGTCACTTTGCCTTTTGTCTCTGAGGAATTGCTTTGTGGCTACTTTCCCAGATTTGAAATATGTCTTCGTAATATCATATAGCAGAATCTTATCACTTTACATGCAATGTTGCCACATATATTTTACCATGACAATAAAGATCAACAAATCATGAGTTTTCAGATATCAAAGGGGTAGCCGTGTTAGTCGGGATCTGTAAAAGCAGCAAAGAGTCCTGTGGCACCTTATAGACTAACAGACGTATTGGAGCATGAGCTTTCGTGGGTGAATACCCACTTCTTCGGATGCATCCAAAGAAGTGGGTATTCACCCACGAAAGCTCATGCTCCAATACGTCTGT